GACCTCGTTAAAAGATTGCCACATATCTGGCAAATCATTCTGTAAGCTAGACACAAAACCGTGGACGACCTTCTGTATGAGATCCTCAAGGAAGGCATCGGAAGTGTCACCAGGTACTTTAACACTTTCACTGCTAGCTTGAACAGTTTGAGATTCAATTCTCGCTTGCTCGTTCATTTCGCCGGTTATATAAACATTTAAACTTGGTTAATTAATCCAAATATATAGTTCAAAGTCATAACAATATACATCAGTTCTATTCTTGTCACCAAAGATGTATAAATTGTAGTTTAGTTTTCCAGCTCGAGCCTTGAGGATACTTTTGAGTTTGGCGCGTCCAAACCTTGTTTCCTGTTTTTAAAGTACAATGTAGTGTGATGTGATTGCTGTATAGCAATTCATATAAAAACCCAAGAATATATAAAAATAAATGCTAGCCATTTGAAGTTTCAGAAACACAAGAAAATACTTCTATTTTTTTCAAATCTACAAAAGTCTCGCGAATCGGCCATTTTGATTCATCGTCGTCAAAGCAACCAGTAAAGTCTTTGTATTTTTTATGCCTTCCCCCCGTGCATCAACATGCAAAAAATGAAACTCCGGGGGGTAAACCGTTCATGCAATGATAATCAATGGCAGAAAATAAAGTGATCACTTTTATACATGAACTTTCTATTGTAGAACTCAAGTTATATACAATTGATTGCTAAACAAACCAAATTTTGCAAGACTTATAGTAACTGCTGTGTTCTGAGAGAAAAATATGAGTTTTAGTTTTGTGAAATACAAGAGTCATGTTGAAGATGGAGACACTGTCATTTTATACATGGTATCACTTTAATTTATACCAATTTAATATTTCTTAATAATTTAGCTAGTACATAGGATAACAGTGGTGGACAGACACACCAGTAAAGGATTGTATTAATACAATCTGTGGATATATGCATTTTTGCAATTCAATATACGACAAAGACCAGGCCGCCCGGCCACAATATACACCCTTCCGCGGAACGTACTCAGTCTTGGTTATAGTTTCTGAGTCAAAATACCTGTGGGAAGGGCAGGCGTTGTTAATAATTTTAGGATATTTACATGGTCCGGCCATATAATTCGGAACATTTAGTCAAACTTTTGAATATCCAGCTAAATTATGCCACATCTGAAAGTTTTGTTTCTTTAAAAGTATCTCTATTTCAGTGCTTGAACTGTTATCCATCTTGAAAACGACTTATTTTGAAAAAACATCCAGCACGAGGTTGGAAAACGTCGAGATAATATTGCTTGTCCCAAGTCTTCTGCAGCGCGAACCGCAGCGCTGCGAGCCGAGATGCCTGTCTCTCAGGCAGCAATTTGTTGTCAAATTCCCATCTCCAAGTTGAGAATTTGCTGTCAAATCCCCAAGGATTGCCCGTCCTTCAGGGCCATATGGTGAAAACGAATGATAGGTACTTTTAGTATACAATTTAGAGCACCTAATTTTTGTGATTGAGATCTTGGCTTTGAAGCCCTTTATCTTGTTAGTTGTTACTGTCTGATTTTAGATAAGATATTGTAACTGTATGATTTTGTAAATGTGTCACTCCGACTCACTTTCTAAACCCAATATCTCAATCACAAAAACAAGATTGTATGGCCATGCAAGACTTTCCAGAAAGGTGTTCATGCATGCATTATAGAGAAGCAGAGGCCCATGCAGTTCTGCCACAAAGCTGTGGAATACAGATTGACTAAGGTTTATATCCAATGGTGTATTTATCAAAGACTTGTAAATTAACCTGGTGTAATTATAACAACATACTGTAGGCACACTAGATAATGCTTTAGAGTTTAGAAAGCTCTTGTCGAAACCAGTGAAAAGACGATATATATGGCATTACATTGTAATGTTACTCCAAATCGACTGACTCTTTCGATCGGCATGTCACTTTCATTTAAACTGGTGTACCACCTGGACTGGAATCTTTGCAAATGATGCGGAGAAGAAAAATTGACACTATTTTGGGGCGTGGATATACTGTATATTTATTTATAAGAAGACCACTGGTCCAATATTTGCAATTGATCTCAAAAGAAATGGCGCAGAGACATTTAAGATATTCTCGGCACACTACAAAGATTCCAGTCTGGTGTACGACTCAGATCACTTTTCATTGGCGGAAAATATATGTGGTGGAAGAGTAGAAATGGTAGAAACAAGCAATTCTGCCACGTGGATGCCCTGGAGGCCATATTAGTCACTTAAGCCAAGTACAGTAGCACAGAATAAAGACACACAGAAGGTCGACTCATTAGTAACCGCTGCCAAGCCATGATTCATCATCAAAATGCTGACGCCATGGTCCTAGCCAGTGTGCATTTGAGAGGCATTCCCCCCTGGATGTCTTCCATTTTGAATATTATCAGGGAGTGAATGCCAGCTCTCTAACGTGCACTGGCTAGAATCATGGCACATGTATTATTCTCTATGTAATCTGCACCTACACATGATGCTCTCACCAGGGGCATGCATAGTATTCTAACAACACAGTGACATCTACACAACTAGATGAGGGGCCACAGCACACAGACACACATACAGTACATACTACAGACACAGATGAAAACCTACTGTAACCTAGTGGAGATAGTAGCTAGTCAACCTGAAAAGGCTGAAATTAATGAAAACACAATGGCAATTACTACTGTAGATGTGGACTAAAGTAGATATTAAAAAGTCTCAAACTCTATTGAAATAACTCTTACTATGTAGATAAGTGACAGTATTAATTCAGTCTGCTTTTTTCTCTTGGCATTGCTCCAAAACTGGCATCGCAAAAAATTAACTCACAGATCGGCATTTTTTTATCTGCCATTTTGCCATAACAATAGTGTACGTAAGTCAGCAATCTGGTCAGCATGCGTTTCCAAAGGCCTAGTGCAGAGAGCTCAGAAAATGAGCAGTAAAGATATTTCGTCCTGGATTGTGGATTTGTTCCACCATAGACAACCAAGAGGAATGGAGTGAAAATGCTCCTATCACAGAATATGAATGAAACTAGTGCCATGTTACCAGCCAGTGTGCTAAGGAGATTGAAGCCATCTTTCCCTGGAAAACATTTTAAATACATGTGTCATGTGTTCAAGGCAGGGCCGTCGCTATAGGGGGGTTGTGTGACACCCACTGAAAACATCTTGTCGGCAAAATAACGGATTTATCAGCAAATTGTTTTCGTTGTCAGCGAAATTATTTGAGCGGCTCGGATTCTAAGTAGTAGTTATAGCGAAAATTTAGATAAATTTACGAAAAATTTAAGAAATTATCAGTGAATTAATCGTACATTAATTTTTAATGCGAAAGTTTGTGAAAAATGTAATGTCTCGAATTTTTTTACCTTCCCCCCGGTCCTTACAGTGCGTCTACACTAAGTGGGGCACTAACGCGACTTAGAGAACACTAACCAATCAATTGCAAAACAAAAATAGAAATCTAATCAAACTAAAGCTCGTCCAATCAAAAGAAAGCATGGAGTTCGCTTCAGGAAGCCAGTAACTGCAGTGTTTACAGCAGTTTACTTTTCAAGTCTATTTTTACATTCGTTTATTTGTTCAAATTGTTTTTGGCCTAATGCTGATTGGCTAATGCGCCGTTTGTTGATTTTTTTCTATTTTTGTTCTGCAATGTGATTGGTTAATGTTCTCTAAGTGGCCCCACTTACTGTAGACGCATTGTAAGTCTGTTAAGAATTTCCTAGAAAAAAAGTAGTGAAGTCCAGGAAAGGAGACTCTGACAAACAAGGCAGTGACAAAAAATGTGTTTGCTTATATAGGCATAGCATTTACTCTGCCTCATACAAAGGCGCTTTGGTTTGTTTACGTCATTAAGCGCACGCGAGGGAGAAAAACGGAATCGATTAAGTTAATCCACGCGGCCCACGCAAAGGCCACGCAAGCCATAGAACAGCACATAGCGTCAGGGTACGAGGCAGGCATTTACTTAAAAATTTCCTCCTTTTTTGTAATGTCGTGTTTATTTAAGTTGACAGTGAAAATTATGTACAGGATTAGTTTCATTGTTTGATAGCCCATATATTATAATTTATTTCACGAATGATGGCAGCTTTTTGTATTGCCATTGCAGGCGCTTCCAGTCCATTCCTCTCGATTGTCTATGGTACCACGAAGGGTGGTGGTAGCTCTATAAAGGGGCTGTGTATATGAGTCCGACTAACCTGGATGAGACATTCACAGGGCTCATAAACAGCCGGGGGAAACTGTCTTGTTTACGGGTTAATTGCACATTGAAGGTTTGTCACGAAAATCAAATTCATACTTTATTGTACACATTAAATTCGATTTAAAACTACTGCAAAATTGACTTAAGAAATATGTAACCACAATAAATACCTATATTTCAAAAAATATACCTATTTCAAAAAACCATTTAAAAAATACCTATATTTCTATATATAATTTTGTGTTAGTAAGTGAGGTTTTTGCATTGAACTACAAGTAAACTGGAAGGCTAACTGCTATAATTAAGGCCTATGATTCGCTGAGCCAAAATAGTTTTTCTGAGTTATGAGCAGAAATATTTGATCCCAAACGTTGTGCTATTTACCAAACTGAAGCTATTGAAAATTTCTATTCAGTGTGGAAATTTCAAGACT